TGGTTGTTGTACTTGTAGAGGGAGCTGAGGGTTTTCCAGCCCAGCTTCAGGTCTCCCATGGGGTCCTGGGCGCAGAGTGCTGAAGGTGCTCAATGGTATGACATCAAAGCATGTTGCAACTTTCTGTGCGCTAGCCCCATGACTCAGCATGACTCAGCATGACTCAGCATGACTCAGCACGCGGCGTTGCCCTGCACTGTCTTGTAGAGGTAGGAATCAAAGGTCACCTTCTGCACGTACTCCTCCTCGCAGAGCTCGACAAAGCTCTCTCTGGCGGCATCGCTGGTATAGAAGACCTTCTGCAGCAGATCCAGCACAAGGTAAGTAGGTCCGTACTTGGAGTCCCACTCACGGATGTGCTCCATGAGATCCGCCTCATCAATCATGCGAACTCCGTTCTTCGAGTTCTTGACGATGGTCTCTGCACACATTCGACCGCTCTTGGCAGCGAAGTAGATGCCCTCGCCGGAACACTTGGTGACATAACCGGCAGCATCGCCAACCAGAATTGCCCTGTCCTTGACTCGCCAAGGCCTGGGGTGCTCGGGGATGGGGTGGGCTTCCACCCGAATGATCTCACCCCCATCAATACGAACAGCTGCTCTGTCGCGAATACCTTGCTGATACTTTTGGATTCCCTTCTTGTCTATCACGGTGCCAGTTCCCACCGCAACGTGGTCGCATTTGGGGAAGACCCAGGCGTAGAAGTCGGGAGAAACATCGTCTCCAACATACATCTCGGCTCGATCCTGGTAGTACTCCATCTTGTTCTCCGGGATGCGCATACGCTCTTGGAAGGCGATGGCGTACTCGTAGTCTCCTGCCTCGATGTCCTTGGCAACGCGGCTGTTCGCCCCATCGGCTCCAATCACGACGTCAACCTCCAGCGTCTTCTTCTCTCCCTTCCTCGCACTGCCCTCTTCCTCGGCATAGTCGTTGAAAGTGAGGACATACGGCTCGTTCTTCTGCTGGGGAAGCGTCATGCCCATGAAGAGCCCGTTGATCAGGGTTGCGCCGTTCTTCTTCGCCCTTTGTCGGAGGAAGTCATCAAGCACCTCCCGACGCACCATGCCGATGAACTCATCGTCCTTCAGCGTCTGACCGATTTGGACTTCCTTGTTTGTGGGTGAAATCATCGTCATCTTTTTGACCTGCCGGTCCACAATGTCTTTTGGGAGGCCAAACTCATCGATCATGCACAAGGGGATGGCACCGCCGCATGGCTTGCAGTTGTCCAGCTTGCGCTCGATCAGGTAGGTTTCGATTCCCTCTTGGGCCAAGGCATCTGCCGCACTCGCTCCGGCAGGACCTCCACCGATCACAGCCACTCGGAGCTTGCGGCCTTCGGGGAGAGTGGCGCCGGCGCACACGATCACTTTGGCATTTGCCAAAGACCGCTGCTGCAACTTAGCAGCGCTGCCCTGGGCCAAGGCCGCACGGTGCTTGCGCCTTTGGCTTGCTGCAGCCACTGCTCCCAGAGCGGCAATGCCAGCCACAGTGCAGGCTGAGGCTGAGGCTGAAGC